AACTGGGTAAAAGTGATCAGTTCTTTTTTGAAGAACTGGGTAAAGTGGCCAGTTCTTTTTCAAGAACTGGGTAAAGTGACCAGTTCTCTTTCGAGAACCGGGTGTGGGTTTTGGATGGGTTTTGTGTGGGTTGGGTTGGGTGTTGGTATGTGTGCGTATAAGTCTTCTCTCAGCATTCACACCTAGGGGTGGGAAGTTACCGTTACGTTTCGGGGTTACCCTTGGTCCACCAAGTGCTAGCATTACGGGATATACTCGGGTCCTCCTGGAGGACCGAAAAGTACCTCCCAATACTTTGACTTCAGGACGTCAGGGTGCCCCCCAATAGTAAGACTTCAGGGGCCAAGGATACTGGCAACACCAGTAATTGTTGGGGCAAGGGTACCACGCGACACTTGCACTGTTTGGGCAAAGGCTGCCGCGTAACTCTGGCAGTGGTTGGACCAAGGCTACCCTCCTTCCTGGCAATTGAACCTGATGGCATGAAGGTTCGGCGCAAAATTTGCATAGGTTGGGCCCACGTTACCGCGCCACTTTTTGCTGTGGTTGGGCCAAGGATACCCCCTTCCTGGCAATTAATCCTGACGGCACAACGGTTTGGTGCAAATTTTGCATTGGTTGAACGCACGGTACCACGTAATAGTTGGACTGGTTGGGCTGAGTGTTCCCAGCTATACGAGCACTTGATGAGCCAAACGTATTTGCTAATACTAGCATTTGAGGACCCAACGGTATCTCCAATAGTGGGGCTTGTCGACACAAGGGTACCCCCAATAGTTGTTCGTGAGGACCAAGGCTATGATATTGATGATGCTAGGCAGTCCCCTGACCGTTACCTGCGTTCTCGGGTAACTGCAAACGGGGCGTTACCGTTCCCGGTGACTGGGAACTTTTTCGTTACCGTTACCGTTCCCAGGAACGGTCTGGGAACGGTAACTTCCCACCCCTAGTTACAGATCAGTTTCTATCAAAGAACTGGTTGGACAGATCAGTTCCTTTCAAAGAACTGGTAGGCACAGATCAGTTCCTATCAAAGAACTGGCTAGACAGATCAGTTCCTATCAAAGAACTGGTTGAACAGATCAGTTCCTATCAAAGAACTGGTAGGCACATATCAGTTCCTATCAAAGAACTGGTTGAACAGATCAGTTCCTATCAAAGAACTGGCTAGACAGATCAGTTCCTATCAAAGAACTGGTAGGCACAGATCAGTTCCTATCAAAGAACTGGTTGGACGGACCAGTTCCTATCAAAGAACTGGTAGGCACAGATCAGTTCTTTTAAAAGAACTGGTTGGACAGATCAGTTCCTATCAAAGAACTGTTTGAACAGTTCTCAAAAACGGAACTGATATGGAACTGTCCAGGGTCTATTCATATTTAAATTAAAAAAATGAACAATTAGAAATAAATTTTCATTCTAAAAACTAAAATGGAAGATAATAATGATGATGATTTTCTATTCAATGGTTTATTTTTCCCAATTGAAAAATTTCTCAACTACATTTTCAATTCCTTCACAAGATTTTAACAATGAAAATCCTCAGTCATCAACCAGTCTAACAGATGAGATTCTTAAACAAGATTTTCAAAGTAAAAACAAAACAAAAATCTATTCTGACAATGAATTTTCTTCAATTAATATCGTTTGCAAATATACATCATGGTGATGAAAATCTTGATTCTATTATAGAAATACAAGGTCTTAATGGAGCATTTCCAAGAACTTTTATAATAACAACAATGAAACGAGAAACCATAACATCGGAAAGGTGCACTGTTAAAAACAAGTTGAATAATCATCAAATCAAAATGAAAATAACAAAACTGAAACAATAAGTAAAATATGTGGAGATAAACATCGTAAAACAAGACGATAAAATAATTTGAGAATATGGAAATGCAACAATAAATAAAGTAGATCAAGTTTATTCATCATCGAATGGTAATAATAATCAAGCAATTATTTGCGAGAATAGACGTTCGGATTTTTTCTACAAAACTTTTTTCTTAAATAAAATTTTCTTGTTCAAATGATCTACTAAAAATAAATGAAAGAAAATATTATTTGGGTCGGTCATTTTTATTTTGAAAGAAAAACATTTAGTTGTCTCGCTATATTTTACTTAATATATGTTATTTTCTCCGCTTTATCAAAGCTGAGTATCTTTTCCGATTGAAAATAAACTTATCAGCAACAGCATCATTTTCATCAACAACGACAGAAGAAAAAAGGTATCAACTCAGATCGAATGAGCATCCAACGGCTTATATACAATTAGAAAAAAACTTTTTTTTCTCTAATCTTCATTTACGATTTACTCACACATTAGAATATCAATTTAATTTGGAGAATGTGAGTGTGGGTGTGTCTCTTTTTCTTCTGTCACCAGTATACTCACACCCCACATCCATACCCATAAATGAAATAAAGGATATTATCAATTTAGAAATGATTCACTGGTAACAATAATCCTTTACGATAATATGAATAAATGCATTTAATTATTACTCTGAGTTCAAGAAAATAAACTTACTTTTGATTACCATTCATTAATGAATGTTTATCAGGTAGCCAAGGATTGCTCAGACTAAAGCTGAGCTCTTGCAATTGTGGATGATATTTAAGTAAATGTAACAGAAAGGTTAGTGAATATTCTCAAAGTATAATTGATTGTAAGTTCAAAAATCTTGTTTCAATCTGCATGAAAGCTTTATTAACTGGTAGAACCATCTTTTTATATACACCGCGGGAAACGAAGGCGACATGGACGTAACAAAGGAAATAAGTCAAATATTCGTTTATAATATGCACCATCAGGCACATCTTCAAATGTATAAGCAGCACGATAGTAAGTTGAAAAATGCACGCCAAACATGATGAGAGAAGTGTTGGATAAAAATAAATGTGATGCTAACCATAATCCATT